TCCCAGCTGACTGCAGGGGAACAACCTGGCTGCTTGTGCTTGAGGATGACCTCTCAGATGTTTGTGAAGTTTTTATTTGTATTAGAAGACTCTACAAAACAGACGGCCTAGCATTTCTCCCTTTCTTCCAGCTAGACCGCGCTAGCTAGCAGGAGGATTTTTTGGGTCTAAATTACTTTAGGCTGATATATTTCATACCCTTTGTCCTGTGAAAATGCGTTTGGCGATACTCCCAGTATCTTGTCAAACCATTGACAATCAACTCTTTTTAGGATTTAAAGATCTCAAAAATTGCTTCCAGTAGGAGAGATCCTTTCTCTGGGCTTTTACTGTGGTTGGGGCAGACTCCCTCAGCACTTATGTGTGTGCGTTAGTTTGACCACCCCTCCAATCGTTGTCTGGGAACATGGGATTTGGAGAGCTGAAGCTTGAGCAGAGCGCAGCACCTCTCTGGTTTTGAGGTAGTAGGGCACGTGTCCAGCCTTTTAGTAACTTTCCAGTCCCTCTGATCGGGACTTGTTCCCCTCCAGGCAGGTGGTTGGAGCCGCTTCCAGGTGATTTTCATTACAGTTGCACACCATTGTCCAGCTTTTCTTTATATGTGTTGCAAACACCACAGATGATGAGCTGTTTGTCTCAAATACGGACTTGGGTGGCTTGGGAAAAATACAAGTATATTTAACTCTGTTTCATGCTATCTGTCTTTAGATCCAAGTTACTCTAGAGTATTTTCTGAAGTTGCACATGCGCTTTTTATATTCTTGGTAAAAGATCAAAGGGCCTAACACCATCCTCTTCCTCCCCACTCCCAGTGATGAACAGAGTGGCTTTCCAGCTGTATACCTATTCCTTGGCTTTTCAGTAATCTTTCCTTTCCCCTTCAGCTAAGGGACGTTTTGTTGCAATGAGATGACATCTTTAGGGTTCCATAAAAGAATGAGCATTGGAGACTGGCAGAGTAGCAACGTGTCCTTCTGCTTGTACACTTACCAAATGGTATTTCCAAGTTGTGCGGGCATTTGGGGCGGCCTGACACTACCTCTTTGGCAGAGAAATTCTAGCCAGTCATCTTCAGTGCAATCTATTGGTAAAAGCTCTGAAGAAGCAATTATGTACTGTACAACAAGAGTATTTTTTGAGATGGCTTTGTAAATATGGATCCCGCCTCCTGCCTGCCTTCCCCCACAGAAGAGGAGCCTCCTCTCGAGTAGTGCTGTGGATCTAGAAGGATCTGAACTCTGGAGCAAGCTACGTTTTCTGTCTTTTTGGGCTGAGCAATGGTGCGAGGGTACACGGGGCACTTGCCTCAGCAGACTTGGTGACTGCAGGTTTCCAGACTTCTCTGGATAAGGGCACACAGTCACATTTGGACATAGAAGCCGCACTCTATCTCAATGAGTACTGGTTTGCAAATGATCATAACTTCATAGTTACGGATGGACCAAATGTACAGGGGACCAAAGACTGTAGGAATTTTTGAGTGAGTTAATTTTCCATAGTGTTCCTGCTAACTTGTTTTGTTTTTTTTTCCTCCACTTTAGAATTTGGCTACATAAAATTAAGAGTTTTCATACATGACAAGGCCTTGGAGTCTCGTGTGCTGCTATTTTCACTTGGTCTTAACTATTTTCATTTATTTCTTGTTTTCTGTGAGGAGCTTTCACTCTGTAGCGATGACATTTACCTGAAACAGTTCTCAGCTAATAAGAGCGAGATCGACTGTGCGGAGGTGAAGGGACTACGGAATCTGCAGGCACCTCCACCCCCTTCATCCTACCTGCTGCACTGTGTGAGCTGTGGGGCATGTGGTGTAGTTGTAGTCACCTCACTTTTCCCGTTTTATGGGTAGATCTGGCCCATTAGAGGACAGTAGCATTCAAATTTGCTATGAACACAACCCTGCCTGTTCATGTTCCACTGTATCTGTGGGAGCTTACCCCATTTTTTTTCCTGCTTTCCTTTAGATGAACTTTGACTTTGCTGTGAGTCTTATTTTTCGAAACTCTGTGTACAGCGTTTTTGAGCTGTTCTTGGAGATCTGATTTCTTTATTGTTTTGCTTTTCAATGAGGTGCAAATGTAACACTTAAGCGAAGGATTAATAGCAAAGAAGATTTGCCACGTTGCTAGTTTTAAACCTTGTATTCCTATTAATAGGAGGGTTTAATGTAGGTATTATGGCTGTATCAGCTTATGAACACTCTGAATCCCATGGCATTCCTAAAATGCAACCCCATTCCCCCACATGGCTCTCAGAGTCTTCGTGAGGACAGAGCGCAGTCAGCTGGTCGAGGGACTCAGGGCCTGCTGGAGCCTTGGGGCTCAGGGGCCTTGGGAGTTAATAGAGTTTAAAGTCCCCAAAGTGCCAGAGGCACTGTGGGTTTCTCTGCTTCCTCCCATCCTCCCCCAAATTTCGGGGTTGTTTCTGGATCTGAGAGCAGTGACCTTTCTGGCAGGGGTACAGAGGGACTTTCAAACAGTAGAACTTTCTCTCTTAAAGCCAAAAGGAATTTACTAGTCTTGTTCACATAAACTCACTTACTTTAATAGTTTTCTGATGTAGTTCCTGAGCATGAAAATGTCTTCATGCTAATGACCTAAGTCAGTACGTGTAGACAATATATGTATGTTCAGAAAAATACCTTGAATTTTGAAGGTGTTCTTAATAGATGTACATGTTTCTACCATATGTTCTGAGTTACCTTTCCTTGCAACCTCACAGTTAATTACTGCTTGGTTCCTAAGGCTTTAATTTACAAACTGAAAGGAAGACCATTAAAAAATAAACTAAAATACATTTATAGAAAAAAGATGTCTATGGTTATGTGCCTTTTTATCTACTGAAACAATGGGTAATGCTTCATCAACATTTTTATCTGTGAGGGTTTCATTTCATGGGCATGGATTTAGTCTTTGCCAATGCCTGTATGGGCTCACTGAAGGTAAAATCAAAATTTTAACTTTTGACTTAAGAACTGCAAGTTTGCATCTGTTTCAGTTTCTTAGTATCAAAGCATAGATGTGTCCTTGCCTAGGTGATAACAGCGAATTAGATTACTACATGCATGATGCACTTCATAAAAAAGAAAGTTGTGAGATGAGGAGTGATTCTAAACTTCTAACATCTGTCCTAATGAAAAATGTTCCCATATAGGGCCTAAAATGGATTGTAGCATTGCATATTTTTAGAGCATTGTTACTAGAAACTATATTACCTGTGTGAACTTGCAGTCATTTTGATAGTAAATACTTTAATACATCATTTAATAATATAAATAATTTTAAAGCATTTATGTTTTATTTAACAAAAAACTGGGGACAAAATTAGTAATTTTGGGTTTACTAGATAGCTTCATTCCAGAATCATCCTCCTGCGTGAGGCTAATGGCGTGGGTGGGTCTTCAGGCCAACCTGGCCTGGGAAGCCAGCAAGTCAATAGACGATACTCTGGAAAAGCCGGTCGCTTTACTCTTACCACACATCGGTGCATACCATGTCTGTGCAATGGCAGAGTGATTATTCGAGTGAATACTGATGAGTTATCTCACAGTGGCAGGTTAATGGTACCATTTTTTCCAGCAAGTAGGAAGAAGCCATGTTTTAGGAAATGTCTTGAAAGCCCTGCTAGGGCAAGCAGCACGGAGGGGAGGGTGGGAGGGGGAGGAGACCACAAATTCTGGAATTCTCTTTCTAATGCAGGGAATGGGGAGAAGAAAAAACACGAGCAGCTATACTTCAAATTATACTTAACTTTTGAAGCTGCACACAGTTCAGAGGGCACGCGGTTCTCTCGGTGACTTCTGCACAAAGGCAGGCATACGCCCATTGCCAAGTTCTGTTAAAGTCATTGCTCGTGTACTTGTTCTTAGATCAGACAGAGAGAAAATGGATTTCTTGAGAGAAGAATCTTTTCCAGTTTGCTCCGGTACTTTTCACATGCCGGGTTCCTGTTTTCGTCCCCTTTGTTCCAGGAGGTGGCATTGTCTCTTCTGGGAAGGACACCAACACCTCAGCCTCCCCTCTGGGCAGAGGCTGCTTGAGCTGCCTGGGGTGAGCAGCGTTAAGTGATACTGTGCAGCGTGACCCAGTTCAAGAGTTTGCTGAAAATGGCCATACTTTTCCGTTCGTATGCACTGTGTCTTTTTGATGCAAGTTTATGTCCATGTTCTTACGCACAAAATACACAAATTTTTGGTCGAGCAGTGTTATCATAGAAAAACATCTTTTTGAGGTTCTTGCCTGGTTTTGTTTGTAGAAGGTTTCTGGCATTCAGGGGAATCTTTTTATGGCATGGAAGTTAAAGCCAGGTGATGCTGATCCTAGAATGCTAGTTTCTTTCATTTTGAGTCAGAATTGCGTGACTTTTGAGCATGGGAAAGAATGACCAGTAGCTGTCATTATTTCTAGGAGGGAAGGGAATAATTTCTGTAGGATTTACCAATTCCACTAAAGTTTGTTGGTTTTTTTTCTGCAAGCTGATACAGAAAAGGTGTATGGATTCAGGAAATCAAGAACTATAATGATAATTTCCCTGTAAGAATACAAGCCAAATCTGTGTTGTATAGAAAAGGAACAGTGTTGCTGCTGTTCCTGAATTCTCTCTGGAGACATGGTATTTCCATTCTGCCTCTCACTGGTTTGAGAGCTCCTATGTAGAGGGAATATATATGGTTGCCCAGAGTGGTAGTGGAGGCCCCATCCCTGGGAGCATTCAAGGCCAGGTTGGACGGGGCTGTGAGCAACCTGATCTAGTTAGCGGTGTCCCTGCTCCTGCAGGGGGGTTGGACTAGATGACCCCTAGGGGTCCCTTCCAACCCAAAGCATTCTATGATTCTATGATTCTGTGCTCATTAGGAGGTTTTCCTATTTAGCTGTTACACTAAGTCTGCATTGTCAGTGGAAGTTGTTTTACCTCAAGAGACTATGCCATTATTAAAAGCATTCACCATTGAAAAGGGTTAATTTAATTAATTTTTTTTCCTCTGGTTGACATCAAGAAAAATGGATGATGATGATGATGATGACGTTCCCCAGCTTTCATCCCATACGTTGGCTGCCCTCCAGGAGTTCTATTTGGAACAGCAGCAGAGAGAGGGCATGAAGACCTCCCAAGGGTTTAATCAATATTCCATTGGCTCAATAGAAGAAGACTGGGTAAGAAACTATAAACTTCAGTGAATGAAGCACAGTTAGAGCAGTAGCCTTTATTGAATTTCTTTTGTGGATGGATAATGAAATGAAATTAAAAAGATGTTGCTGGAGTACCAAACTCAAACTATTCATGGACAGCAACACTGTTAGGGATATTTGCTTTAATATTAAATCTGGATATGCCATGGAGAGGGAATAAAGCTGCCAACAGAAGCATCTGTGCCTTCTGGAAATTTTAACTCCAGCTGCTGTGTGAAGGTGGTAAACGTTCTTCCCTGAGTTTGAGACAAATACAGTGTAACAAGCTCAAGTGATCTTTGCTTTCATGTCACATTTCTTTCTGTGTTTTATTTCTTTAGTTTTGTGGATAGCTGCTTTGCTGCTTTTTTTTTCTACTGACAGACTGATTTTTTATTTGTCTCTGGGTTGGTTTTTGGTTTTACTCTTTCTTTTTCTGATCTCTTCTGATTTAGTACTTTTATCCTTTATTTCCTTCTATACTGCCACTTTTCAAGTTCCTTTTTCCTCTTCTGCTAAAGTAGTTCAATTTAAGAGCACATAAATACTGTGCTTCTGCACACTGGGTTTGAACTAACCTCATCAGTGATTTTGCATTACTTGGTTTTCCTGCTACTGCTTTGGGAACACACAGGGTAAGCTACCTGCTGCATGTCGCTGGGTTACAGAAGTAAAAAGGTTGTCAGGAAAATAGTCACCTTTCCAGCTTTACAGTTTGTGAACTGAGAAGTTGCTATGGATTTTGGTTTTCTTCAAATATGACTCACCACGCCTAACTGTACGGAGCACGGTCAAAAGATTCGATGTTGTTCGTAATTGTGCATTCTCTCTCCCAGCAACTGAGCCAGTTTTGGTACAGCGATGAAACTGCATCATGCCTGGCTAATGAAGCAGTTGTGGCAGCTGGAAACGGTGGCAGGTAGGTTTTAATAATTACGTTCTAGTTTCAACGTCTTTTCTGTAAATATTTAGCTTCTACTATGTAGATAGAGCATACAGTTTAATTCATTACTCATTGTACTTCATCTTTGTCCATCTCTGTATGGAGATATTGCAGAAATGCCTTGCTGTTATTTATTTAATTAATATTTCATACCGATTTACCATTTAGCATTTCATTGAATGCTGTAGGCTCTGCCTTGTAGAAGTTTACTATGAATCATTTTATTTTTTTGAGAAATACAAAGAGCTCCACAGCATATTAACGACTTGTAATTCTTTTCTCTGTTTTCATACAATGTTTCTATAGAACAGATGGAAAAACTTGGTTTTCTTCCTATTTCTGTAAGGAGTCATTTTTAATTTTAAATTTTCAAGAATATTTCCTTGCTGTTCTGAAACAAGATTTTCTCTGTAGTTAAGCTTAAGGTCTTTGTGCAGCACAGAGGTTGAATGGGTAATGGCTTTAATACTTAAAACTGGCTATTAAAATAATTATTTGTTAGAATGGAGGAAGATTGCATTTTTGTGACTAATGTTTCAAATGTTTCCCAAAGCAGCCCTGAGGACTGCTCTAGGGTTTTTTGTTGTTGTTTGCCTTTTAAATTGGCATTCTAAGTTATTGTCTCTTTTTCAGGATAGCATGTGTTAGTGCACCAAGTGTGTACCAGAAACTGAAAGAACGGGATGGTAAAGATTTTTCAGTGTGTATACTGGAGTATGACAGAAGGTTTTCTGTGTATGGAGAAGAATTTATCTTCTATGATTACAACCACCCTTTGAACTTACCTGAAAATCTCCTGCCACACAGTTTTGACATCGTAGTAGCAGATCCACCCTATCTGTCTGAGGAATGTCTTCAAAAAACTGCAGAGACCATCAAATACTTAACAAAAGGAAAGATTCTGCTTTGCACAGGTATAATTAATACAAATATTAGGTCAGCATTAATCATTATTTCCTCTCTCTCAAACTTACTCAAGTGAGAGAAATATTAGCTCAATAATACTAATTTATCATTAATTCAAGGAGGAATGCGTATCCTAAACTTTTTATTGGAATACTTCAACCTTCATCTTAAACTGAAGGCATGTGGGTTTTAATAGTTGAAGTCAGTACTTTTTTCTTAGGGCATTACAAGTTTTATTGAATTTTTGAAGATCATCCTGCAAAGTTCCAGAATTTTTTTTTTTCTTGTGAAAGGGCCGCTCTCTATAATTGCAGTGATTGAAATCTGGGTATGACAAACATAGGTGCAACGTACTGTTAATGTCTTACTTAATAGCCTTACCAATTGTGATTTTTTTAAACATGTCAGTAGCTGCAGGATTTCATGTATTACTTAGCATCTAAAGTGAGCTAAGTAGAAAGAATGACAAATAGGTTGGAATGGCTTTTGCTGAGTGAAGTGGGATGATTTTAGCTAAGTCTTGAAAAAAAAAAAGTCAACTTAGCTGTCCTTACTGGTGAACGTAGAAATTGTAATGTGAGTGAATGTATGGGGGGATTCCGCCATTGTGATTCAAGTAAGGAGATCCTAGGCAGCAGGAGGAATTAAAAAGCCAGTGGTAAGAGCCGTGAAACTGGGTAACTCACCAAGTGGACTTGCAGGTCCTTCTTTATGAAGATGCAGTTGCTGGTTTAAGAAGCTATATGAGTATCTGCCTTAGTCATGGTGTTTCTTAAACGGTAATCTTATTACAAGACTTCTGAAGATATCCAGGAAACTTTTGCAGAAAAACAAAGGACAAAAGCCCTCTATACATGCAATTCGAGGGAAGTCAACCAAGCAGGCAAAAGAAATTAAAATAATATATGGCCATAGAAAGCCTACTACTTTGTTTAATTGCACATGGCAGCCATGCACAAGGATGGTGCTCCGAATTTTTTTCCTCAAAATGGATTAGGTGGTCCTTCAGTTTACAGAATTTGAGAAATACTGCTCAAGGAAGTGATTTCTCAGTGTGTAGCTGTAAATACCGCACTGCGGTTTATTTAAGTGGAAGAGTATATGTAATCTGTTTGCATTTCCCATGGCTCCCTACCATGTAATTTCTTTGGCATGTAGTGAGAAGATTTGAGTTCAAGTTTCTGTTTTCTATGAAAGGGGCACTGATCTTACCCTCTACCTATTCTTATGAAACTTCTCAGACATTCATTTCCTTGGGGCGTCTGCCATTCTTTTACATTTATTTTCAATTTCCCAATAGATTCAGTTGTTAAAGAGGGCTGAAAGTGTAGCTCCTTCAAGCCTTAATTCCTTAAAAAAAGCAGGCTCTCTATATATGCATTTGGCAGGAGCTGTTACTCAAACTCAAGCCCAAACATTCTGTTACTATTTTTCTCATTGAATACTAATTATTTTTGCTGCAGGTGCAATAATGGAGGAACAGGCAGCAAAGCACCTTGGTGTGAAGATATGCAAGTTTATTCCAAAACACTCGCGAAATTTAGCCAATGAATTCCGATGTTACGTGAACTACGCTTCTGGACTGGACTGATTCTCGTAAGAAGATCTACAACTTTTTCAGTCAAGCTCCTTTGGTTTTTATCAGTGACTCCACATTTCTCAATGCTGAAATGTTCAGCTCCAAGCACTGTTTTCTGGGCTAGCTTTAATCAACATGGTGTGATAGCCTCTGTCTTTTAAATGTGTAAGGATTTGCAGTTACTGTGTTTTGTATCTTACCTATTAGGTAAATGGGGACCAAACAATGCAGGTGCTGGATCCTGGGAACTCCTCTTTTAGAGTTTCATTCTAACTGGTAGTTTTTACCATTCAAGGACTCTTCAGTGACCTCTCTGAAGTGATTTTAGGCTTATGACAACACACAGGTGCTTGCCTCACAGGCATCAGAGCCATCATTGTGTCAGAACTGATGACTTAGGAGCTAGTGGATGGTTGAAGGAGCACGAATAGTGGTCTCCTTTCAAACTCGAGAGATGCGCCCTTAGTAAAAGGATTGAGAGATATTTGTTCTGAACGTGTCATGTGTTTTCAGATTCTTTCTCCAGCAAGCTGATGTTTTTATAAAGGACAACTAGAAGAGAAAATAGGTCTCCTTCTGGGGAGGCCTCTCCAGTTGCTTTTAATAATAATCAGAACTACCTACCAGTTGCCAAGTAAGATATGACCTACTATCCACTATTGTTGCCAGACTGGCTTTTTAAAAATTTGTGGTAATTATTTCACCTTTTCTCTAAAGCCTTGTCACAAACCCAGACTTTCTTTTTGTAAAATACAAGTTTTGTCATTACTTGCTGCCATATAAACTTGTGTATGTATGTATGCTGTACCAGAGAAAAAGCAAGGTCAGTTGTTAAACGTCTCTTTGCAGAAGTACGGTGCGTTTATTTTGCAATGTTTATGTGTTAGCACAACAAAGTCATGAGCTTTTAAAACTACACAACTAGACTGTTCTATTTGCCAGTTAAACTAATCTCCAGAGGTGGTATAAACCTGTTATCTCCTTGAAAAAAGCACAATTGGGATTTCCCCATTAGAGAGAGCTTTGCTTCCCCTAAGAATCCTATACATTAGTCAGGCCAAATCACCTGGAATACAAAGCAGTGACTAAATAAAAATGCAACACGTCAGCCAGTCCTTGCAGTAGTGCTTCAGACTCTGTACACGGGTTCTCACTTTGAGTTTCTCTTACTGGTGGTTATGACGATACTCTGTAGTAATGTGGCCCATACATGTTAGTCCCTTAAATCTTGAGTCATAATGGATCTGATTAAATACAGGGCCTCCTTTTTAGTAGATTCCAGCATCAAGCTAAAGGTGATTTGCAGGTTTGTCAAGTTTGTAGTTACAAGAACAGTCCTTTTTTTCCCATTGCCCAGTTTTATCTTTGCCTCCTGTTCCCCAGAGAGCAGCAGCAGAGCGGTAGAACAGAAGCATCTTAGAAATCATTGCATCTTCCAAGGCCACTGAGGTATAACACAATGTATTGATAAACTCTCACTGTTTCTAACAGACAAATGTTAAATTTTGTATAGGAGGTTTGAGCTATATTTCAATCAATTTCAGTCAAAACAGACGATATGTTAGAAAACCTTTGCTTTGGGATAGTAGACAT